AAAAACGCAAGTTATACATATACATATATGTAAACACATACGACCTAGTATAGTATACATATACTGCTGTCTCTTATACACATCTAGTTCATAATAAATTTGCTAATTTTTAATGATTTTTTAATTAAATTAATTTTAATTAATTAAACAAACTAATATTGATTTTTTAATTAAATTAATTTCAATTTTTTAATACCGACGTTGGTGTTAAAAATTAGATTTTAATTTTTATTCTCGAAGTTGGAATTAAAACATAATTTTTAAATTATAACCTAAAATTAAAAGTTTAAAGTTTTATTTGAATGAAGTACGCTAAACATGTTAATTATAAAACAATTTTTTTGTTTACCCGGTATTTTTTAGTTAAAACGGAAATCGATAAAACTCCAAAGATGTCGAAATTATTTATGAACAGAATTTAGGTTTATGAAATAATTTAATTATTTTACTAATTTCTTTACTATCTCATTATATTATTTATTTTTAGAAAAGGTCAAAAAAGCTACAAAATAAAATACCAATTATTTTACTTCGAAAAAATATAAAAATGTGTTTTAGAAACTAATATCGAAACATTTTTATTTTAATTAGTTTTTTAAATCTCAAATTCAAAACAATAGTAAATGGGGATTTTTTTTTCTTAGAATCAATTATAAAATAATTATAAAATTACCTTTTCTAAACCGTATTTCAAAGAAAAAATTATTTCCTTTTTGTTTAGAACAAATTATTATTGTCAATGTCCATATTTTGCATATTCGAAAATTGTGCTCTTTAGAAAAACTGCTACAACTAAATATAGCAGTTTGTTTCTATTTCAGGAAAATTCTGACATACATATGTATGTATGCACCTACAAAAATATTTATATTTCGCTAAAGTCTTTATAAGCATTGAAAATTAATTTCCTGTGTACGAGCCGATTGCTGACGACAATTCGCTAATAATATTTTATATTTAGTAGCACTTTGCGGCAACAACTCATTTTGAGATTGAACAGACACACCAAAAAATGCTTCGCTTCATTTGTTTTTATTCTCGCATGAGAGAAATAAATTTTATAAGCGTGAATTTTGCACATAAGTTTATTATTATACGCAATTCGCAGTGAAAATTCCAAGTAAATAAAAAAAAATAATAATAAATTTTGTAAACAAATATGGAAAATAGGGAAATGCTATATTGCTTTATATGAAAGTTATGAAGAAAATTATAGAAGTCAGAATAAAGTAGCAAAAAGAATAATAAACAAACATTTCCTTACATATGTATAAAGCGTAAGTGATAAGTGATAGCAATTGAAAGACAAGCTAAGAATATCAATTGCTTGATATAAGGTTTTGTGTGTATGCTGTTGCATACATATGTATGTATACTTGGTATGTATCAAGCATATTCGTGTATGCTTAATTCTGTAGTATGTTAGAAAATATTCATATGTGTATGTATGTATATCTCGCTCTTTTCTAACAAGTTACAAGGCATATACAAAAATAAAAAATACACATACATAAAACAAATAAATAATTTCGACAAAAAAAAACACTTCATGGTCATGTAATACGAAAGAAAGTATGGTGGGTGCGATAATTTGGACGATTTCTCCTGTAGTTTATACATATATACAATGGTGCTATAATGTATGTATAGTATATGGATATACATATAAAAATTGTATATAACAAATGTAAATATGTATGTACAAACTTGCTTAAAATAATAATAATAAATCCAAACAAAAAATGCATAATTACATGAATATATATTAGCATATAAAAATGTATACATATGTACATAATATAAACACTTCTATATGTGCGTACATACAAATATTCTAATAATCTAATCCACAGCAGAATATTCACCTCAAAGCTTCACCTTTCTATGAATGCTTCATAAATTACTTTTTTATTTATACATATTTGCTTTTTTTTTACACTTTTTATATGTATGTATGTCTCTTAGACTTTGCTCCTTTGCGAAAAAGTCGCACGCTACTTTATCTAAATATGAAATTATCGACAAAAAAGTTTGAAGTGCGTCAAAAGGAAATTATAAATACGTATTTATGTATATACGTACATATGTATGTATGCACATATGTATGCTTTTACCAGCTTTTATGACTTACATATATAAATATGTATATATGTATGTGTGTTATTTGTGTTAATTTGCCAATGTCACGATGGTCATTAACATTGCTATGTGCTTACATAAATGCGTGCATATGTCAATATGTAGTATATGTAAATGTGTATGCGTGCACATATAAATAGCTATGTATGTATGTGTGTCTGTGAACGCGTTTTCTAACTAATTTTTTTAAGCTTAAACACAAATTTAGATACATACATATATTTACTTTCGCGCCCATGCTCCAATGTGCATATTTATAAGAAAAGTTACAGTCTTGCGCAAAGTTTTTGAATAAATCGCCGACTTTGCATTCAAAGCTTAAAAATATGTTATATGATATATTGTTATTGAAATAACATACATATGATATTTTTGTAAACAATTTCGAACTTTATATTAAAATATCAATCAGTCTTACACAAATTATGTAAAAACTAAACATTTTTTCCCAAATTCAAAACTTTTGTATTTAAACTTTTATTTTTTTATTAAATTTCAACTAATTATTTTATTTGTATATTTCAAGCCAGATTGCAACACCATGAATATGATAATATAGTGCGGCATGAGAATAAAATAGTACCATTTGTATATTTTAATAATATAATAATAATGGCAACTCTCTTACAAGCTGCACAGAAAAATATTTTGAATTGAAATTTAATACGTCGAAAAATATGTTATATGTATATTTTTTAATTACCGTCAATTTTTAAATAATTTTTTCAATTTCAAGTTAGGTGGCAACACTAATTTTCATATGCATGTATGATTTAGATGTTCATATTTTAAGTATTTTCACTAATTTAATTTTTATTTTTATTTAAATTTTCGTAATTAGCATGTATGTATGTATGTATGTATGTATATACCTTTAGTAATTTCACTTTTATTTCAAATCAGGTGGCAACAGCAAAAATTTTAAATTTATCTTTTGTATTAAATTCTTTAATATTTTAACTTTAAGAATTATTATTTTAGCTTTCTCAATTTATTTTTATTATCGCGTTGCCATATAAATTTTAAAATTAATAAATTATTTAATTATATTTATGGTTTGACCTCAAAAACGCAAGTTATACATATACATATATGTAAATATTTCAAATTATTTCTGTCCTAAAAAATCGCTACTATTTTCTCACGCAACACTGTAGACATAAACAAATTGATTTTTAGCGTTTAAGTCATTGTCGAATACAAATGGTCTGCAGGTGTTTAGACAAAATTAGCCAAGAAATTGTTTGATTAGCGAAAAAGTGTTGCAATAAAATGAATTTTTATTGGCTAAAAATGAAAATTAATTGAATGAATATACATACATATGTACATGTATGTACATACATAGTTAGTACAGTTATATACCGACATATATATTTAGTAAACATACTATATAGATATACACACTTGTGCGCAAGTTATATTAAATATTTAAGGTGTAGAAAACATTCTCTTTTACATATGTACATACATATATATAAATTATAAAATTCTCTTTTTAAATATTATAAATTATCAATTTACAGTCGATTATATACATATATGTACATATGTACATACATATATTATAGACAAAAGTTTAATAAATTACTGGGGCTCTTTTGAATTAATCAATTACTTAGATACATACATACGTATGTATATGTGTACATACTATATTTGTTGTTGTAATTAGGTTAGTAGTTCGTATGACTTCTAGTAAACTTTATTCCACAAATACAAGATTTTTTATTGCAAAAAGGCGCACCAAGACATTTTTAATACTTTATTAAAATTCATTCAACTCGATTTTTATATTAAAAAAATATTTGTTTGATATACTTATGAACTATTATTTAAGTTATTGATAAAATATAATATCTACGTATGTGTATAGATTATTATAACGTTTAATAATTTATTATTAAATCATTTAAGATAAATTAATCACAGCTGTGCACTGCGGTGCTCTTGAAATTTGATAAGAAACCCAATAAAAAAATATAACAGCGCGTTAAATAAAACAAAATCACCAACGAATAGTAGGAAATGACTTAAAAACCAAAAGAAAAAATAAAATTATAGTCAAGAGTGCACGACGCGTGAATATTTACATAAAAAACACGCGAATAATGTTATTTGTGTGCATGTATGAACATGCTACGTCACATAGAATGTGAGAGCAAAGCTCAACTGAGCCTGAGGTGCCAGTTTGACAAAGGTGTATTTTCATATACATATGCATGTACATACATACATACATACACACACACTTAAATGTAAACAAATTTAGATGTAGCCACACAAATAGACGTCTATATAAGAATATATACACATATGTACATATACAGATATTTACCTACTATACATCATTTGTATAGTTCCTCTCGTTTTTTTTTTTTTTTTCTTTCTGCTCCACCCCTTTACTATAAATTGTCACAAACATTTTGGCACCTTTGCCATAATTTTAAATTGCTCGACTCGCGGCGTGCTGCTTGGACTTTTGGCCGAGCCCCCTGCGCACCCATTGCCGCGCACACGACATTCTGCATAAGTGATGCACCATGTGTGGCTTTTCATGTATGTGTTTATTTTATTTATTGTTTGTTTTCGTTTGCGTTTGAAATTGTTATTGTACGAATACTTTATGGTGTGCGCGACTTTTTGGCGAAGATGAGCAAGCATTTACATGAGTATACATATACATATATGTATGTATGATTATTTCATATTTACATAGTATGTATGGGCACATATTTTATATGCCTTGTTGCATAATATTTTTTTGAACTTGGGAACTATAATTGTTACTTTTCTTGCGCATTCTTTTTAAGCACTTTAATAAATTTAAATAATATACATTTAATTTTTTTCATACATACATACAAACATATGTATGTACATACATACGTCATTCATATTTTATTGTGTTGAAATGACTGACTGCTGCTGACTTGTGCTTTTAGTTTAATGTAAATTTAATACCGCTCGTACATATTCAATTAAAATGTAAAGCGTCAATGATTTTATTAAATTTTTTGAAATATTTAAGGAGGTTATTAGCCTTCGTACCTTTTAACAAGCATGTTTAACCTGGTATATTACACATTTATGTACTTATGTAAATTAAAATACATTATTAATAAGTAAAATGCTTATTTTAATAAAATATAATTATAAATTGTTATTGAAGGTGAACATATGCACATAAAAATAAATAAAAAGTGTTACTGGCTTTCAAAAAAAGTATATTTATCACAAAGAATTCCAAACTCTTTTAAAAGTATAATAAACAAAAATTGATGAATTTTTTCTTCAAAAAATACGAATAAATTTTTCAAAAAGTTTTTAAAAAATTATAAAACTGTTTTGGGATAAAAAAAAACGTAAATCTTTATAAACTAGTTTGGAAAAAAATTTGTAGAGAAATTTTAAATAAAAAAATCGATAATTTTATTAACAAATTTAAAATTTTCATAAAACTATTTTTTAATGCAAAAAATTTTAACTTTATAAACTCGCCAAATTTGTATGGCAACTTCAATTGTCTCCAGAATTTTTCGTTTCCATGAATCCTAAGGTTTCAATAACCTTACCAAGAGCACTTAACCTTTGGTTAGTGACGCCTTAGAGTGACCCCATTAACCTCTATTTCTTACACTTGAGTTAAAAAAATAAAAATATTTACGCAACTATTAAAAATTATATTTAATAAAATTAGCAACACAAATATAGTTAAATAATCTGCAGAACATAATATCCTCATAATTCAAAATTTTTGCTATTTTGATAAAAATAAAAAATAAAAAATCAGTGCAGTTCTCAATAAAAGAATAAGCCAGTTATTGAAAATTTTATGACATCACCCTCTCTCTCTTTCACTTTCCACATTTTTTTCATTCAATTTAATTTAATATATCACTTTCATTCAACTTTCATGTCGAACCAAATTTAGACTTACATTCATATATGTATGTACATTAATATTATATATGTATGTACGAATCTAGTCTAATCTAACTGTACTCAACTGCAATTTTTAATCCACTATTTATTTCGCTCTTCCCTCTCTTCCAGGCTAAAATGATATCCAACCACAATTATCCAGTCGAGGAGCACACAGTACACACACCCGATGATTACATACTTACCGTTTATCGAATACCCGATTCACCAAAATTGCGCGGCACCGCCAACTCAACGGCCATTGCACGCACTTCCAAACCGGTCGTCTTTCTGCAGCACGGCATACTCTGCGCCTCCGACGATTGGATACTCAACGGTCCAGACACTTCGCTGGCATACATGTTCGCCGATTCCGGTTATGATGTGTGGCTGGGCAATGCGCGTGGCAATACATATTCGCGCCAGCACAAACACAAACATCCCGATTCATCAGATTTCTGGAATTTCAGTTGGCACGAGATTGGCGTCTACGATTTAGCCTCAATGCTGGATTACGTGTTGGTCGAGACAAACGATACAGCGTTGCATTTTGTCGCGCATTCACAAGGCACCACAACATTCTTCGTGCTTATGTCCACGCTGCCGTGGTACAATGAGAAAGTGAAGACGGTGCATCTATTGGCGCCCATTGCCTTTATGCGTAATCACTCGTTTATGCTCTCGAAATTGGGTGGACTCTTTTTGGGTTATCCGTCGTTTTTGAGTTGGGTGCTTGGCGGTATGGAGTTGTTGCCGATTACAAGCATGCAGAAACTGTTATGCGAATATGTGTGCTCGGCGGAGTCAAGATTTCGGTTTCTGTGTTCAGGAATTTTAGACTTTCTCGGTGGTTGGGGTACGCGGCATTTGAATCATGTGAGTAGAGGAAATTTATGCAAGTTATGACATGAATTAAAGAGATATCTGAGTCCTATTTACAATACACTGAAAAAATTAAAAAATTTGCTCTCACATATTTCGGAACAAAAATTTAATTTTAATATTTTTTTCTTTCTTTTCAAACCTTATTCATATTGCGCAAAAAAATATTTCATGTAAAATATTGCAAAAAACCTAAATTTATTTGTTTCGTATTGCAATTTCCTCTTCAGAATAACCTATTTTCAATTTTTTTTCATATTATTACACTGAAAAAAAAGAAAACTTAATTCATGTTTCTTTTTTCGTTTCTTATTTTACTTTACATTGAAAAATATTATATGCTTTCCTCTCACATATTTTGTAAAAACGTATTTTAGTAACACATAGACTGGAAATGTTTTAAATTTCACTGACACATATGTATGTTTTAAATTTCACTGACATATATGTATGTATATTAAAAAGCATTTTTTTAAATAAATTTTTTTATTTTTTCGTATTTGAGTTTTCTTTACACTGAAAAAGTTTAGAAATTCCCTCAGACAAAGTTATTTTTAACTTTTTTCTTTCCTTTGTAAATGTAAGCATACACTGGAAAAAGTTTTATGTCTTAAAAGCTTACTTACACTGAAAAAAATTAAACTCTCTAGTGTTATATCTTAGGGAAACTTTACTTAAATACATTTCTTGTTTTTATGTCATATTCTACACTGTAAGAATTTTCTCATATATATTTTTGAAAACTTAATTAAGTATATATTATTCATTATTAGATTTTTTAATTTTTATTGAAATAAGAAAGGAACGAAACATTTTTATAAGAATATTATTCTAAAGTTGTTTCTTATTTTTTCATATTTTATTTTCCATTATACGAAAAAATTAAAAAGAATTTTCTTAGAAATTTTAGAAAAAAAAATGGAATTTGTTATTACACTGAAAAAAAATTGTAATTCTTCTTTTCTAATGTTCATTTTATATTACACGGAAAGTTTTAATAGAATTTCATTAGAAATATTTTAGAAAAAAATCAGTTTCTTTTTCTACAATAAACACTGAAAAAATGAAATATTTTTTTAATATATTTTTAATTATTCATTTTTATTTGTAGACGCTGCTGCCACACGTTTGTGAAACTCATCCCGCCGGTGCCTCCACAACACAAATTATTCACTACTTGCAGCTGTACACATCCGGCGATTTCCGTCAATACGATCACGGCATCGAATTGAACAAAAAGTACTATCAACAAGAGACACCACCATCATACAATGTCCACGAGATATCCAGTTGTGTAAATATGTATTACAGCAACAATGATTACATGTCAGCCGTTGAGGATGTGGAATATCTGGCAACACTGCTGCCTTGCGTGGAACTCTATCGCATACCCTATGACGATTGGAACCACTATGACTTCTTGTGGTCAATAAACGTGAAAGAAGTGATAAATGATAGAATAATTGATAAAATCGCCAGACATGAGCTGCAAAATTTGTGAAATTGATTTTCCTTTAAGGAAAATGTTGAATTGTCACAAATAAAGTGTGTTCGTTGTGTAGGTTTTATCATAAGTGATGTTTGTAAATATTTTGTTTTTTGTATGATTCTAGTATTATTGCAATATTTAAGGTATATAGGTAGAATAATCAAGCTAAACAAATTAAAAACAAAAAACGAAGAAAAAATATTTAAATATTTTATTAATATATGACATCTATATGTACCTTTTATAAGCTGTGAGACCAAAAAGATAAAAAACGAAAACTAAGTGAAAGAATTAAAAGAATGGCGTTCTATATACGCAAATACTCAAAGGTTTGTGAACTTTTCGCTTAAGAAGTTAGACAATATTATTTAGTGTTTATTGAATATGTATTCCAAAATACGTATGCATGTGCGAATTGTATGTACTTGATATAGGTATAACGAATAAATTATTTTTATGTATTTACGCTGACTAAATGAAACGCTTTTTACAAGTAACTAATAAAAAAATATATACAAATAAATTTTTAATAAATTGTGTGTGTTTTTATTTATGCAAATAAATAAGATAGTATACTTAATTTCGTAAAATAAAATAATGATTTTTCTATAATTCGAAGGTTATTAAGTTGAAATTGAATTCTGTTTCCGAAAAATAAGCAATTTCATCAAAAATTCGAAGCTTTAGTAAGTTTACTGAGCGAAATCGACTTTCAGATTTATGAAAAATAATTATAGAGCAACTAGAACTAAACTACAGATTTTTTACGTTTTACTCAATAATTATTAAATAATATTATAGTAAAAGTACAAGCTTTTAAGGCCAGTAATAAAAAAAATTGTTATATTATATAATAAGCAAAAATCTGTTTAAAATGTGGTTCAGGTTAAACAATAACATAAAAAATGGTTTGTTTTCCTTAATAAGGTTTATCCATATCAATTCTCAGAAATTCTTTTGTAAATTTTCACCATGTACCTACATCATTAATAAAAAAAAAGAAAAACGTTCGTTGCATAACTTGCTGCTGGCAATTCCGCATTTCGCTCAGTGCTCTCCCAATTGGAAAAACAAATGAAATGAATACACACAACGAAATTGACGTTTGCTTTATGTAGTCTGCCATCTTTGATTTAGCACAGCCAGTGGACGGACGGGTAGATTTTTTAAGTGTAGAAAATTTGATAAGCATAGATTTTTCACCAATACAAAATTTTAAAAGTGTAGTGCATTTGGTGAAACATGAGCTTATGAAAAATTCATATATAATTTTTTGCAGTGCGATAGTTGTTTACATTTTTTTCTATCATATGTGCACGCTTGTAACTAAAAAGAACGCGTAGACATGGAAAACACAACGAAATAACTAAATACAAATTATATTGTGGAATTTGCGTATTGAGCTTAGAAAGCAACTCAGACTTTAATTAAGCAAAGTTCTTAGTAATAGGTGAAATTATTTAAAAAACTTTGGTTTAGTTAGTGTTATAAATAGGAGTAAGTGCATTAAATGTGGCTAAACCATGTTATGTATGAAAATTATACTTTAATTTATATGTGACCTTTTATACTTGAAGCTCTCAACCTTTCAACTGTAAGCGCTAAGTTGTATACTGTTTGCCATTGTGCTTTCAGCAACAGCGTCGCAAATCAGCATCCAACATGGCAGCTGCCAGTACAACTGCAGCAACACCAGCTCCACCATCAACTGCAACAGCAACAAAATCAATGTTAGTGCAATTGACCACCGACGGTGTACCCAAACTGCATTGTCCAGTATGTGATAAAGCTTTAGTATCGCTAAGCGGTTATGTGAAGCATGTAAAGAAACATGAGCCACCTGGTGGCTTCCTCTGTCGTTATTGTGACGAACGCTTCTGTTCTGAGGAAGAATTGAAGAAACATCGGGACAAAGTGCATACAACAATCGTTTGCCGACTCTGTACAGAAGTCACATTTATAAACGAAGATGACTATCGTGAGCATATACGCGTCGTACATAATGGCATCGATAGGGAAATGCTAAAATGTGACAAATGTGGCGCAGAATATAAAACAATTTATCCATACAAGCGACATATAGAAACGGAATGTGGCAAAATTAAACCACACAAATGTGAACAGTGCTCAATGACTTTCGTGACAAAATATAATCTTAAACAACACATGGTGCTGCATACTGGCGAGCGGAAGTACTGTTGTAGCTATTGTGGCAAGAATTTTCTGCAAAAAGGACGTCTGGTGGAACATGAACGCTCGCACACGGGCGAGAAACCGCACAAGTGTGATGTTAGTAAACAATAATTTGTACATATTTTGAGCATTCTGAATATAATTTTGGTTTAATTTAGGTTTGTGGTAAGTGTTTTGCACACCGAGAAAGTATTGTTACGCATTCATCGATACACACCGGTGTGCGTTTAGTGGAGTGTAAATGCTGCCTTACACGTTTCTCTTGTCATTCAAATTTGATAAAACATCGACGTACGCGACCCGACACCTGTGGTCTACCAGAATTTGATCCACCCAAACAGCGCACGCGCACGCATCGGCACAGAAGTAAGTCTTAACATGCAGTTTGTACAGTATTATTTTACTACTTAACTACAAAAATACTTTTTAGTTCCACCAACACTCAATCCTACCTCTGAAATAAAAGTAAACAATTCCAATCGCATAATAAAGCCAGATCATAAAGAACAAGTGCGTAACACAAATTCGAACGCCAAAAATCGCGTTAATGGCAGACCAGGCAAAGGAAAGCGCAAAATATCTGCTACAGATACGGAAGAGGACGATGAATATGAGCAGGAGAGATGGCTTAATGAATGTGTTGAAAAAGTGGAAATTAACGCACTTGACTCTGCCACCACAATAGAAACGCAGGAAGCAACAAACACTACTTCACCGCCTAGCTTACAAAATGGTACGGAAGAAAAAACTGTTACCGAGGTCGGTAAATTCGAAACAGACTCGGAAGACGATTATGCCGATTTTGATCCAGCCGAAGATAGTGCTAGTGAAGATGAGCATAAAGAAAATGTACAATTAACGCTTGCAAAATTGAAAGATATTAAAAAAGAAGAAAACACCGCAAGAGTTGAAAATTATATAGATAATGCATATGATGATGACGAACTTGAATTTATCGACTCGCGTGAATTTGTTGGCTCCGAGTACGAAGTCAAATCAGAAGATGCTAATATTTTCATTAATAAAGATAAATTGTTAGATTCGCTGTTAAAAGATAAGACGACGCAAAGCGTTAAAAAGAGAGAGCAAGCGGGCTTACATGAGACTGAATTGATATTAATCAAAGCGGAGGATAGTGCCGACTATGTGGAGGAGACCGACATTTTGGACGTTGATAGTGATGTGAGCTTGCCATATAATTATAATATTGCAATTCTTATAATCATTTGTATATATTTTGTATAGCATTTAACTACGCCACTTGCTCCTTGTAAAATAATGCTGCGAGATGTACGCCAACGATACCCCGCATTAAAGGATGAGTCGAGTGTGAAAGTTTCACGCAATGCTGTGCCATACCCCCGCCCCAGACGACACCAACAAGGTGCAGATACAGACAATGAACTTACAAATGCCGCTGACAGGTCAGTAAGTGAATTGGAAGTACCCACAAAATCACGTAAAAGCATCAAAAAAGTTGCACAGCCGAAAATTGAAGAGAATGCAAAGGTTACGAAACGTGGACGCAAGTCACGTCCACTGACGGAGGACGTAAATGTACCTATTAAATCCGATGAAAATGTAGAAAGTGCTGCCGCTGATGATGAGGAGGCGGAAGATAAACAGAAAACAGGTAAGGGCGGTAAGCCGGGACGTATGGCTAAGCTTTCACAAAAGGAACTGAAAGCGCGTTTGAAACTATCGAAGCGCGGCGAGAAGCCTTGGCAGTGCCCATATTGCATAAAAGTATACCATATACGCAAACCTTTTGAGAAGCATTTACGTGACGATCATCAAAGGCCAGAAGAGGAGATCAAGGAGACTTTTAAGACCGAAGAAACGACCATTAATGATAGTGAGGTCTTCAAGTGCCATATTTGCGCGAAAATATATCTGATGGAGAAACGTTTAACCAATCACATCAAAATGCATGGTGAGCCAAATATAAATAAACTTTGAATGCAGGGTTGCAATTAATGCATTTAAAAAAATTATATTAACATTTCAATTAATTTTTTTTATAAGCCGTAAAACTTTTACTCGAAATAATTTTTAAAATTTATTTAAAATTTTATTTTTGAACCTGAATAGCGATTTTATTATTTTTGTTGAATACTAAAAATTTAATTTTTAATCCCAAAAATAGAGTTATAAATTGAACATTTCAGTACCAATTCCGAAATTGGAATTGAATTATAAAATCTATTGTTTAATCCAAACAATTTTTATTAAAAAATTCGCAAGGCCTCTTTGAATTAATTTACTAAATAAATTTTTTTTTTTATTTTTGCGCAGGTCCCGACGGCAGTTTGATCATCAAGTGTCCCTGCTATTGCTCCGTGTATTTCGCAACCAAGGACGAGGCAACTGCGCATGCGCGCAAGGAGCATCGTGATCTCATATTTTGTAATATTTGTGAAAAATTCATGACCGGCCATGATTCGTTGAAAAATCACATGAGAAAACATGAACAGGAGCGAGACAGCAAATCTGTGGCGAATAGAAATTTTGTTTGTGACAAATGTGGTAAGAAATTCTCTGGGCGCACCTCGTTGACCGATCACGTACGCTCCGATTGTGGCCGTAAACCGCTTTACCAGTGCAATGTGTGTGGAAAGCATCTAACTACAGCGGGCATATTGAAAACACATCTGCTTTTGCACAAGGATGATACGCCCTATCAGTGCGACAAATGTGGCAAGACCTTCAAAGTGAAAGCGCAGTACAAGACGCATATAAAAACGCGGCATACGGACTTTAAACCTTTTCAGTGTCATGTAAGTGCCGGAAATTTTTTACATATATTTTTCGTGTAAATAATTAAATTTAATTACTACCCCTTAGCTATGCCCTAAAGCCTATCCCTACCGCGAATCACTGCTCACACACATGACCGTGCATACGGGCATCAAACGCTTCCTTTGCAATGGCTGTGGCAAACGTTTCACTTGTGTTTCCAACCTACAGGCACATCGTAAAGTGCACTCGGATACTTGTGGCCAACTGCCACTCAATGCAAAGGCCACGCAGTATATGGGCGTGCAAAAAGGCAATCTACTTTTAGGCGCTAAGCCAGAGGCTGGCGTAGATTATAAGGAAACCAATACGCTTATAGCAAAAGAAGTAATTGATCGTGATCGTCCGATGGCGCAAGAAATTAATTATCCCTCGGAACCGTCTGCGCCTTTGGCAACTGTGCCCCTAAACTATACACAAACCGTAACGCCACAATTATTACTCCCACAAGTCATCACGCAATTTATAGATGATACGCATACATTGGCGTCTACGTCGACCGCATTTCCTTGAGTGCGGAAGTGAGTTCATTATTTAGATTTAATTTGTATGCTTAGTTGTAGATTTAAGTTGCTTTTAAAGTGTCATAGAATTTGTTAGTGATACGCTTAACTTAAGCAAATTTGCATTTTAAAATGTATTCTTTTTAGTTTTAGCCAATAAAGGTATGCGTAAAAATATAAAGTTAATTTTATATTTGTAAAAATGTACTGCTTAAATTTGTAAAGAGTTAAAAAATATACGAATATTGAAATAAATTTTCTAATATGCAATAATAAAAACATTTAGTAAAGTGCAATATTAGTGTGCAAAAAAAAATAGTTAACCTTGTTTACAAATCACGTCAGCTGATATTCTCGTTGCATAAGTAGTAAATCGTTGACCGAGTGTATTATACCGAGCGCCTGTCAAAAAAAAATAAATATGCTTACTTTACAGATGCATACACGTCAAAATTCTTCAACTGACTTTGCTTTAATACATTTTGCTTCTCTTATATTTATAATTTACATTTAAACAAACATTACATCTTCATGTCTAGACTTAAAATTATTATTAAAAACCGCTAAATTAGCTTTAATGTTTATAGTATTTGTGTGGAAGACAGCCTTTAATTTAAGCGAAAGTATGGTTTTTGAAATTTCCCTATAGGCATACGGCCACGTTGTCGTAAGCGGCGCACCGCTTCACGTAAATATTTGGGCTGCAAAGCGCCGGTCTCACCTCCCGACTCCATAACATCTAAAGCTGCACATGTAAATGAAAATACATGAAAGTAAATATTTGAAATAAAGTAAATTTACAGCCGACTTACCCTCCTCCACAATTTCACCAACAAATACCTTCGCTATACCTGACATAGCGATTACGACATTTTGCGATACCGAGCAGCCAGTTATGGTTTGCATGAGGCGCTTCACTGCCGCTTTGGGAAATGCTGAACGCCGATACATTTCATAGCGATCGAGCTGCTCTTCGGTGAAGTTGGAAACAAGCACTCTACATAGCAGTTATAAAAATAATTAATCTACATTTTTCACAATGTACTTCCAGGTATTTACTTACTGCATTTTTTCGCGCTCCTCTTCTTCCAACTCTTTCTTGGTTTTCTGCTTTTTGGATAGCGTATCATCGTTTAATTCTGCACCTTCCAATTTTGGCTCCTTTATATCCATTCCAAGCTCATCTTGAAAACGTACCTTGTTAGCACCTTCATCACCGGAGTGATCGCTATTAACATTGCCATCACCATCGACATCGCGCGTGCGATTTTCCATATCGCTGCTAATCTTTGCTTTGTCAAATAACTTTAAATCGACTTCATCGTGTTCGGTTTGCTTTTGCGAACTTGAATTTGTTGTTGTCGTAGTTGAGACAGTTGTTGTTGGAAGCAGTATTTCATCCATTAGAGTTAATTTATTTTCAATAAATAAAACAAGTTGCTTACATATAAACAGTATACAAACTTACTTTTTTTCCTTCAGCCAAGAAAACAGCTGTTTCACAAATGTCAATAGTTAGCTTTATCTAGTAATGCAGGGTTGCATGAAATTTTTTTAGTTTTCTTAAGTTTTACAATCAGTTTCAAAGAAAATAACTACGATAAAAGTGTTGATAAAATTCAAAATATGATTTAAAAAGTTTTCGGTTTACTGAAATATTTTCGTATAAAATAAAAACTGACTTAGTATCGTTATGAGCACATTTCGATCAAAAAATTATAATTTAAAGTTTTGTTCAGTTGCCACAGCACTGTCGGTTGTCAAATGCATTGTTATTTTTTTGCTATTTTCGCACCGTGCCTTTTTGTCGCTTTGACAACTACCTCGTGTTTTTGTCTTCCCTTTTTCTGCAACACTCATCTAGGACGGAAAATTTCACAGCATTACTTTGCGCAAAATTCATTTAATAACCAAATTGGATATTCATTGTGGTTGTACAACAAAATGTCAGTGGAAGTAACAAAAGTGGAAACCACAGTCAATGCGGAGGAAGGCGCAGAAAATGCGGCAACCGAGGCGTCAGCTCCTGCCGCAACTGGAGAGGAGGTAAAAAAACAAAAGAAGCCTAAACCAAATAATAAGAAACTGCGACAAGGTAAGCTACGATACAGCATTAAAAAATTTTTTTTTTTTTTCTAAATTAGATCACCTAATCCTAATGCAATTACCGCACTCTTACTCTTTACTAGCAGAGGCAGCGGCGAAAAAAACAACGGATGGTGAAAATAGTGAAACAGTAAATGCGGTGGCTAACGGTGAGTCCAAAGAGGAAGCTGAAAATGCCACAAATGAGGGCGATAAAAAGTCCGCGCCTAAGAAGAAGAATAAAAACAAAAACAAAGGCGGTAATAAGAAAGTGCAAACCGATCCACCGAGCATACCAATTGCAGAACTCTTCCCTGATGGACAATTTCCAGAGGGTGAGATTTTACAACATCCCACACCTAAAGATCTGCCCGATGATCGTACTGCCAAAGATCGTTTTACATCGGAGGAAAAACGTGCTTTGGATCGCATGCATAACGATATCTATCAGGAATTGCGTCAGGCTGCCGAGGCACACAGACAAACCAGGCAGTACATGCAACGTTACATTAAGCCCGGCATGACTATGATTCAGATTTGCGAAGAATTGGAGAATACAGCACGTCGTTTGATTGGTGAAAATGGACTGGAAGCCGGTTTGGCATTTCCCACCGGTTGCTCATTGAATCATTGCGCAGCACATTACACGCCTAACGCTGGCGATACGACTGTCTTGCAATATGATGATGTTTGCAAAATTGATTTCGGCACACACATCAAGGGACGCATTATAGATTGCGCCTTCACGCTGACATTTAACAATAAGTACGACAAACTTTTGCAAGCTGTGAAGGAAGCCACTAATACAGGTATCAAAGAAGCCGGTATTGATGTACGTCTATGCGATGTAGGCGCTGCTATACAGGAAGTTATGGAATCATATGAATTGGAGTTGGATGGCAAAACATATCCAATCAAATCTATCAGAAATCTGAACGGCCATTCCATCAGTCCATATCGTAAGTCGCAATCAGTGCTTTACATATTTGTGCGCGCGTATCATTGCTTAAATTTTTATGTTGTATACAGGTATACACTCGGGCAAGACTGTGCCAATTGTCAAGGGTGGCGAATCCACACGCATGGAAGAGAATGAGTTCTACGCTATCGAGACTTTCGGTTCAACCGGTCGCGGTCTGGTGCATGACGATATGGATTGTTCGCATTACATGAAGAATTTCGATGCCCCATTCGTGCCATTGCGTTTGCAATCATCCAAACAGTTACTGGGCACAATCAATAAACATTTCGGCACATTGGCGTTCTGTAAACGTTGGTTGGATCGCGCCGGTGCCACCAAATATCAAATGGCGCTGAAGGATCTTTGCGATAAAGGTGTTGTGGAGGCCTATCCACCACTGTGCGACATTAGAGGTTGCTACACAGCCCAGTATGAGCATACAATTATGTTGCGCCCATCATGTAAAGAGATTGTATCGCGTGGTGATGATTATTAGTACATATACACATACATACAGCAACGCATGTGTAGAAGAATAATGCAAATTCTAAATTGTTTTCATAATTATAATTTTATCTAGCGCTCAATGGAATTAACACCTGAAATTTAACCCAATTCAAAATTATTTTCCTTAAATGTGTGTAACAATAAATAATAATACAAAGATTTGGCTAAAGCAAACGAAATAAGCTCTAATCATCTAAAAATTATAATACATACATTGTTAAATTATTATTCGCATGAAAACGTCTTTGCGCCTAAAATTCGTTCTAAAAAATGTTTATATCTGCTTCTAGTAATCAATTTTGTAATACATACATACGTACATACATAAAGCATTGAATTTAAAACAAGAAAGTAAAATAAAGCATGTTTATCAAAAACCCAAAATAAAAAGTTACATTAAAAAGATGTCTTGTCATTGTCTCAATTTTTTCCATTTTCTGGAGTCTACAATACAAATAAGTTCCACAGCAGTTTACTAGTGACAAGCTCAACTTTACGGGAAAGAAAATCCACAAGAAAAAAGACAAAAATTTTAATATTTTCAGAAAACTCATATTTACGCCAACAACAAAAACAACAATTAAAGCCAAATAGAAATCAATTAATTTTACGGCGAGAATATACATTTCCCGGTTTTAGACTAGGGACACCAGGTTCCTAAATGTCAATAAGTAAGAAGAGTCATTAAAAATGTCTCCACATTTCCATCGGACTAATCACTGAAGTTAAATGACAACAAGTCATCATCTTCTTCAGCATTCTCCTGATCACCGAAGAAATCCTCATAGTTGCTATTCGATAAGCCGTTATTGTCAGCAAAATTCAAATCGAACTGCAGTAAGTCGTTGTCCTCCTCGGTGGGTGACACCTGCAAAGCAGCGCTGTCATCATTGCAGCTCTTGAGGGTCTCGCGGAAGAAACTCTCAAAATCCATTGACGGCTTTTTACCCCTGCGTTTGGATTTCTCACTTGTACCCATGGACTCATCAAAGCTTAACATAGCATTTGGGTCTTTAACGGGATTTGGACCCACCTCGGAATTTGTTTGAGAGGTTTCTACGCTAGATTCCTTCAAAAAGTCGTCGAAGAAGTTATTACGGTCTGGTATTTTGTCTTGCTTTCGTACTTTTGGGACTGGCGGTGTTTTGAACACTTTATTCTTGGTCGGCTGTAATGGTTCTATGGCAATTGTTGCGTTTGTAGGTTGAGCCTGTGGTTCTGGTGTGAGAGCTATTGGTAATTTCTGAAAGAAAGCAATATAAATTATTAAAAAAAAAAAACAAGTAAGAGCGCAGTTCGGGTATAACCGAACATTTCATATTCTTGCAACTTGCTAGGATTAAAGTCAGGGAAGTACCTTCAGGTACATAAGGCCTGTTGTTGTTGTTTTAACGTAGTATCAATCCCCGTTAAGATGGCAAGGGTTATCTATGACGTCATCTAGCGTTAGGCCCAGGAAACGTGCTTTTTCGACGGGGTCGGACTCAAGGGAAAGGGGTGTTAGATGAGTGGAATTGAAAGGGCATGCAAAGAGGTAGCCAGTGTAATGCGGAGACCGTTGCATGCAGAACATGTATTGAATATGTCTGGGTCTATTCTGGATAAGTAGGAGTTTAACCTGCTACAGTATCCAGAACAAAGCTGCGCTAGGGTTACTCGGGTTTCTCGCGCAAACTCCAGCTCTTCGTCTGCGATGGGTGGTGATTTGACTCCAAGAATGCCATTCACTGGAAGTTAGTCGGTGAAGGTGTTGATAGCTCCACTGTATATGACAGTCAGTGTCTGTCGGAAGTTAGTTGCGTCCGAAGTCCGGTCGGCGTACTGTTCGATGTCGTCGACGTAGTTAAGGAAAGACCGCTCGATGTTCCTAGGATGCGGTTCCGCTCCAAGGAGGTGGCTGCAAGGGTGATTTCTACGAAAACATCATAGCATGATTTGCTTGGAGAGGTGTTCATTATGCTCCTTAGCTGGGAGCATAAGCGTCTCACTATGTAGTTGGTCGATGGGAGACATCAAGAGGCATCCTATCGTGATCCGGAATGCAGTGTTCTGACAGGCGACCATATTGGTGCGGATTTGATGGGGGGAGTGTGAGGTTCCGTGCAGAGAGGAAAAGAGAAAAGTTGGAGAGGCAGTTGTTTACTGTTAGTTATATACATAGGTCTAGGTAAAGTCTGCTTCCATCTGCCTGATTTATATTCTATAAAGGGAAATGGGTCTGGTAGTGAACGAGATCCTTTCATCTGTCTTGGAGCCAGTATTAACACCAACAATAATGTCAGCCTGGAAATCCAAAGCAGAATAACTCTTGTCAGCAATTGCTACTTCGGACTGAGTAAGCAATTGAGAAGTAAAGTCCTCTATTGATGAACCAAAACCAAACTCTATAAATGACTCATAATACCCGTCCTGTTATATGGTGCAGAGGCTTGGACGATGACAACAACTGATGAGTCGACGCTGCGAGTTTCCGAGAGAAAAGTTCTGCGAAAGAGTTATGGTCCTTTGCGCGTTGTCTACGGCGAATATCGCATTCGATAGAACTATGAGCTGTATGAGATATATGACGACATTGACATAGTTCAGCGAATTAAAAGACAGCGGCTACGCTGGCAAGGAAATGTTGTCCGCATGGACGAAAACACTCCAGCTCTGAAAGTATTCGACGCTGTAACCGCCGGGGGAAGCAGAGGAAGAGGAAGACCTCCACTCCGTTGGAAGGACCAGGAGGAGAAGGACCTGCCCTCTCTTGGAATATCCAATTGGCACCACGTAATGAAAAGAAGAAAGGACTGGCGCGCTGTTGTTAACTCGGCTATAATTTTACTCTGTATCAACATATTGCAAGAGTATAAAAATATTGAGATCATTTTAAAACAGTTATTAAAATTAATTTCCCCAAAATTTGATTTTCTTATAAAATACAAATATTAAATGAATTAACAATAGGACAACTTTAAAAAACCTCACCATCGGCAATTTAGTGCCCGCTGGTTTAACGATGCGACATTCTCGAATTTCGATTTTTGACCTTTTTTCGACAGCACTGGAAATCGTGTGAACTTTGCTTTGTCTTTGCGAACCCTGTAATCTTGCTTTCCTGAGCAGTTTCTTCGCTGTAACGAATTCCGGTCTGGTCGGCTTCTGTCCGGATAATTCTTCACAGTGCGCGTTCCCATTTTCATTTCTTAACACTTCATCGGTACTGAAAATTTCAATGGTCTCAGTATCACCATTAAATGATTGCACGTTATCCTCAACCAAAAATGTATCATTATCAATTACTTCACCGATTCCGGCAACAACATCACATTCAAGCGGATTGAAGCTCGCATGGCATGTTGGAATGAAATCCCAGTTATCCTCTGCACTTTCGTGAGTGGCAAAACGTACACGTTTTTTGGGTATCAAAGCATCCCCCTCATTCTCGGCAATATTTGGTCGTCGCAGTATGGATTTTGGACCACTATCGGGTATTGTATTGGTGTGGTCCGCTTCAGAGTCATAGCTTACAGTCAAATTTGGAACGATGGAAGTGAAATCAGAATATACAGTAGTGGTTACAAGCTCTTGGATCTGTTTTTGTTTCTGTAACTCCCACTCCTTGAAAAGATCTAAGAAACTGATTTCTTTCGGCTTTACATCTGTGTTCGCATTAACGGTATTTCCAAAAGTAGGAAATGTATCAAGCTTCGTGGCGATGGATAGTGTGAAATCGTGGTTTGTGGCGGCTTTCTCTAGACTTGGCTCCAACTCATTTGCGTTGACGTAAACGGGGAGCTGAATTTTAACGAAGACTTGTTTATGTATACGGAGTTTCATGGTGACTTTAATTACCTTCGTATTGAATGTCTGCATTTTTGAAATCAATTCCTGTTTTTGTGCCATCAAATCCTTTCTTTGGGCATTATAAGTGCTTTCCAAAACTGCAAGCTGAAATAAGGAAAGTGATTTCATGGTAAAGTTTATATTATGACTTATAATTATATTTGGACCAGGGTTGATACTTTCTGCGATCTAACCGTTTTACGACTGGTAAGTAGTATCTCGTATGGAATATCTAGAAAAAACCCGAGGATTATGAGTTCATTGTTTACTGCCCTGATTTTTTATCTGGCCGACTATTACACTCAATTATTATTATTACAATCAATTATCCAATAAGCTAAAAAATATTGTATACATAATCAGCCTCCGAACGTACTAATCACTCTTATGGTCTAACATATCTTCTGTGATTYTGATAAAAGTTTGCCCACGGCTCTGTCAAATAATACTTGACTAACACCCAGCGGGTCCGGGTTCAAAAGTAGGGAATTTGGCTTGGAATACGAAGAAGCCGCCCAGAACGGTCAAGGAAGTTTGAAGATGRGGAACTGGAAGCATMACTTGMTGAATGTTGTAGCCAAMCACAAGAAGAGCTYGCCGTATTTGTGAGAGTCACTTGAGCCGCAATTTCAAAACATTTAAAAGCGGTCGGATATATTCAAGGGAAGGMAGCTGGGAACATTACGACAACCCTGAAAAAATCATATCTGAAACCTGGCCAAACAGACGCAAACAAGACAAAAACATTCCATTCAWGTTCATGTTGCAAGACCGTTTAAAAGCTATTAAGAAAACAGTGGCTGGGCAGTTTTTCCTAACCCGCCTTATAGCTCAGATCTCGTCCTCCTTTGACTACCWGTTGTTTCAGACGATGGGATGGAATCCACAAATTGCAACCAGAGATGGGGAAAAATATATAGCTTGTGATAGGCTGATATTTTGAATAATATTACTCTACACATACAAGGTGTGTTTCAAAGTAAACAGGACTTAAAAAAAACTTTTTTCTTTCGGCAAAATCAATTTATTTTATTCAAAATAGTCTCCTTCTGCTTCAATACAGCTTTTTGCATGGTCCAAAAGCATGTCGAACGAGTGTTTTAGCTTGTTGGTCGGTATGGCCGTCAGGATGCCGGTGCAAGCCTTTTGAATGGCTTCTACGTCTGCATAACGCTGGGCAAATGCATTTTTTCAAAAAGGAAGAAGTCGCACGGTGTCATATCAGGTGAATACGAGGACTGGTTAATGACTAAAATGTGATTTTTGGTCCAATAATAGTCCTTCGAATGTTGGATTCTGAGAAATTTTTAATCGTCAGTCAATTTGTACGGAACAAACCGT